TATATCTAACTTTGGTAATCATCCCTTTCGCTATCCCTACTGCTTTATCTGCCAAGCCATTACTTTTTGCATAGTATGGGCTAGACAATATTACCTCAAATTGCTGCTGTGTGGCAAATGTTATAAACTCTTGTGAGCCACAAGGATTATTATCAGCAACTACTTGTTTGGGAATTCTAAACCTACTATACACAACTTTTAATAACTCAATAACTGACTGGCTTGATTTGTCTTTTAATTTTAATACTTTTAACAATCTGGAATAATAGTCGATTATTATAAGATAATTATTACCAAATATTTCTGCTATGTCTAAACCTACTTTTTAAAAAGGAACACTTGGTCTTTCATGCTGTTTTAATGGTTCTTTAATTTTTTTGATACTAAATTTTATGCAAGTTTCACATATACTAATTGCATTTGTTTTATCTGATGTCATACAAGGCCAAAAAAAAATTGTTTGTTTTTTTTTCAAAGTTTAGTTTGTACCTAAATGTGTTTCATGTATTTTTTTAATAATGTACTTGCATATAACTCTAGGTACAACCAAACAACATCCATAATAAATTAAACCTTTTTCCTACATTAACTCATTTCTTATTTTATGATAGTGTCTTATATCCCCTAGCCTATTTATTTTTTTAGGTCATCCCTCTCTTAGATACTGTTCTACTAATTTTAATGTTTTATCTTCTAATATAGCTTTTTTAAATTCGTCCTCTTTATTATTTCCAAATTTTAAGTTAACAACCTCCATAGTATGTACAATATCTTAAAGGGTATCTTCTGTTTTCGTAATATTTTGTTTATAATTTCTGCTAAGGAAATCAGCTACATATAAATATTTCCCTGGACAGTGCTCTACCTCTAAGTTATAAATCATCAAGCTTACCCTAATTCTATTAATTCTGTTATTTGGTATTTTATTTAATTCTTTATCCATTATTGGAATCAACGGTTGATGATCCATTTGTACCGCAATTACTTTCTGTCCATAAATAAGCCTATGAAGTTTTATGCATGATGACTTAATTGCTAACATTTCTTTTTCAATTTGAGCATACCCCTGTTCAGTTATACTTAAACATTTAGATGCATAATACACA